CCCCAAAACCCCAAAACCCCAAAACCCCAAAACCCCAAAACCCCTCAAAAGGAAATAAGAACTGATCCTTGTTGTATATAATATTTAAGAAAATATAAATGTCTCAGGTAAATACAAACTCCAATTCAAAACTACGAAGAATCATCACAGTTGCCAGCAGCACTAAACAGCCAAAAGCCTCAAATAGAGCCCCAAAATTTCTTTCAAGGAGAAAACAAAGCCGGCATATTGCTCTTCAGGTACTATCTGACTCTATTTTCCCTTTCTAACACTTTAATTGTATTTAGACTTCCAAGAGACACATTTTTAAGATCTATTCGCCTATGAGGATAGTCCCTAACAAATTTAATCCTTACAAAGCACACTCGAAGCTGAATTGAAGGTAAGTCTTATCTTTAATATCTTTTAGCTTCTCACCTGCGCCTAGTTTCCATTCCAATAATCGTGTGAAAAACTCTCTTAATAAGACAACTATGGAGTCGCATAACATTAAGTAACAAGTAGAGTCATAGGTTTAGGTCTCCAAAGAAGCAAGCACAAAAATTGCCCAAATTAAGGTACAGGAATATCAGATTGATCAAGGGAATGATACTAAATTCTCAGTCAAATTTAGGCATAAGCCATTTAGTTTACATAATGATTATATCTCCCTACCATTGAAGAGGATGTCAAAGCCAAAGAAAGACAAATTTCTACCCAAGAAAATATAATTTCTGAGAATTATAGCCAAATCACCTGAAAAATCTAGTTTGAAATGTGAAAATGTGTTTGTTTTTCTGAAAAATAGCTTAGCTTAATGAAAAAGTGGCATTAGAAAACGTCAAAGAAGTCCTCATTTCTTCATTAAAAAGAATCTTCATTCGTTATAAGAAATTTGCTATATGAGCACTTCTTTATTCTTTTCAGGTTTGAAGATAATGGTCAAATTAATAAAAACAAATCAACATTAATTCATTGTGCACCTATATGAGCACCTCTTTATTTCATCCTAACCTTATCTAGGAATGAGTGCCTTTACGGAGCATGAGAAAAGACTAAAAGAATGTCTAAGCGAGTTCAGCAGTTTAGATATCACCAGCAAAATGCTAAAAAGAATGCCATCAAAAATCTTAAAAAGAAATATAAGAGCCGTAGGCAAAGCTCTTTGCTAACAATTGCTACTGGGACTAGTTCCAGATATCACAATACTACAAGGCAAACGGAAGGAATAGATAACAACAAAGGTACGAAATAGTACTAATTTCCAGGAAAACTATCATCTTTTAAACTCCCAAATCTAAAAGAAAGTGGGAAAAAGAGAAGCCATCGGCCTAAAAACATAAGTAAAAGTAATATTAGTAGAGCAAGTGATGACAAGAACTCTTTCGGATACTCAAAAATGGCTAACCCTGCATCCCCAATGATCATCCAGAAGAAATTCAGAAAGCATGATTGTGTATCTCAGAATTCTAAAGCGATGAAGTCGAAATCTGGAATGAGCCACGGGATAGTTATTCCAAAAGGCTATAGCCCTAGTAAAAGTTATTACCAATCAAAATGTTTCGGCAAACAAATCTCTAAGAAGCCGAACCTAGTTAAAAAGCTGGATGATAACTTAACAGTTAGCACTGCGAAACCAGCACCTTTTTATAAAAGCCTCAGATCAGGATTAATGAACAATAAGACTACTCTAGAAAGTTCTAATTCTGGAACCACAAAGAGGAGAAGCTATAAGGCTACAAGTATGACAAGATTTTACTTTTAGATCTCCAAATGTTTAATATAAAGGATGAATCTACTCCTATGAAAAGGAGAAAAGACTCTCAAGTCATCGAAGAAAAAGGCAAGAAATTAGACGAAGTTTTCAAGAACTCCTCCAAACAAGACTCTGACCGAGGAAAAATGGAGAGTAAGAGATTTTTTATGACTTTTAGACAAGGATATTTCCAACCTCACCCTTGAAGAATACATGCTGAATTATGGAAGACCTTATAGAAATAACAGCATGAAAAAGATCGAATCAGTCACTACTTGGAGAGTTGTCAATGAAGATCCATCTGAGAGTTACATTACTGTTGATGAAGAATTCGAAAAAGAAACCCAAAACCCTATATCAAGGTCAGTAGACCCTATAAGACAAAGATCTTGAGAAAATAAGGTTTCTCCACATGTTGCAAACTCAGCTGAAAGGAAGAGCCAGATAAAGCTCTCAATTTTATCTGCTTTGAAGAAGAAAACAACTCATGTCTATAAGAAGCAAAGATCAACCTCCAGAGTGTTAGATGACCTTGAGAGGAAGATTTCCTCTCCGCTTCTATCAAATGTTATGAATGCCTTTTTTTAGTACAACAAAAATTCAGGCACCTACAGGTCCTCAATCTATCCGTATGTCAAGTAATGCAAGTATATTGTATCCAATCAGAGAGGAAAATGGTGCTAAGATGTCTATTGATGAGGACATCCTTGATGAGGTTGCCTCTTCATCCTCAATTTCAGGTAACCTATCACCTTTGAGAATTCAAATATTTGAAATAAGAAATTTTGACTAAATTTAAATATAGAAGAAAAAGGCCTAAGAGATATTGAAAAGAACTCTGTTCCCGATGACCAATTATTACAAGGTACAATTTTACACCTTCTATCTCTAACAAAACAATATAGTCGGGAGAAGAAGGACAAATATCATGATAAAAATCCCTAAAAACCAACAACTTCAGCTCGAAACCAACACTCCACGTACAAATCGTCCAAGCAAATTCAAACAGGATAGCTTCCTACCCTAAACCCCATTTTCAGATTTATTTCAATTTCTGCATCACCCTCTGGGGTTTTGGGGTTTTGGGGTTTTGGGGTTTTGGG